CCCCTCTAGGTATTATTTGTGTCGAACTGCATAATTTTCATATTGTGAAAGGAAATTGGCCAAATGGCACTAGTGAGCCGAGTTCCAAGCTCAGGATGAGATTTTTCTTTTAATAGGCCAATTCAATTAAACCTCTGTTTGATTCCAATTATTTTTAAAATATGTTTTTCTCTCTTCTTTTCAATCATACGTTCTTCAATAAAATAATATTACACGCAAATTCAAAACTTTTTCATATTTTTAATCACACATTCTCCACCAATCAACTATTCGAAAATGCATTTTTACAATGAAATGGGGCTCAAACAGGCTCTAAATAATAGATGTTGAGTCTGTATATGTGGTTCCCTCTTCATTATGCGCATGCCACATAATTTATATATATATATATATATAACAATAATCCCCAAGTCCAAGTTGTATATTTGTATGCGGGTTGTACTTAAAATATAAGTTGTTAGGTAGGTAAGATCTTATAGTTTGTCTCGAAAATAAGAGCAACTCAATAAATAGGGGTTTACGAACTGCCTCGAAAATATGTATCGAAACCAAATAGGCGAAGACCTACGAATTGTTTCGAGAATATAAACCACTATAATTTATTGAAATTTTGGCAACATCTCTTCTGTAATTTGGACTAAACTAATCTGAAATACAGCATAATCTATTCACTACTTATATATAAAATAAATTTGGGGCCTATTTGCCCTCCGAGTAATGACAATAAAGAGAAATAATGATAATCTAAATATTTTCAAAATATAATGTGCAGAAAGTCTGTCCATGCATTATAGTAGATCATATGCTTGCACAGTTCAGTGTAACAGTATTGCTAATGTGAAGCAAATAACATGTTGATAATGTGGATAACGTGACATACGTACTGATAATAATGAAAATAGTTATATGACATGCCTGCAATGATGTGAAATGAAATGCTACTTTGAGACAATAATAAAAAACATATGCTAGCAGTAATAATGTAATAATACTAAGATACTAGTATCACAATAGTCCCCCAAATCTCTGTATGGATATTCATATAATTCATGGACATTTTGGATAGATATGAGAATCTGAATATGATCAACTGTGATAAAGTTGATACAAAGGCGAGACTCTGAATATAAGCAGTCGTGATAAGTTGATGCAGAGATGAGACTTCGAATAAATAGCTATATTGATACTGATGCAGAGGTGAGACTCTAGACTGAATATAAACAGCAGTAATGAAGCTGACATCCTTGCATGGTTGTGGCACATCATGGTAAGGGCTTCTTCTAGGTAGATGATTTAGTTGTGGAAGGCATTATCTTTGGGGATATCTAAGATGGGACCTCGTTGAGGTGCTTATAACTCTCTTTTTAAAGTGGATATTTTTGCATGGGGTTAACATATCCATGGAAAGGGTTTCTCCCAGGTGGATGATTCAATTGTGGGAGGCTTCGTCTATGTAAATATTGAGGTGGGCCCACTCATTTCTTACGAAGTCATGAATAACATCATTGCATGATGGATGGTTCATCCATGCAAGGAGATAATGTAAGCTCTTTGAAGATAAGTGCAGTTGTAATATAGTTGATGCAAAGGCATGATGAGCTCTCTGAAAATAGATATAGTTGTGATATAGTTAATGCAGAAGTGTGGCTCTGAGTATGTAAGTAGCCGTGATAAGCTGATGTGGATGCATGATGAATTCTCTGAAGATAAATGCAGTGAAGCTGAAGAGATTGTGTAGACGGCTCATACATGCATTATAAGTGAATGACTTGCCTCGCTTGGAGAAATGGTGAGGTTGGACAAGTCCCAAGAAAGAGAAGAAAAGAACAAGCATCCGCAAACTAAGGAATAAGCATACAGCAAAGCGAGAATAAACATCTCGCAAATGGCTCTCTTGAGCTATCGAACACTTATAAGTTGGTCTTAGATAGACGAGGTCTTGTAGCTATTCTCGATAATAGTGAGGGACGAAGAATCTGTCTGATGAAGCAGGAAATAAGAATCACATTCACCTGCACATTGGAACATCTTGTTAGGAGGCAAGGGCCATGGATCGAAAAATGGTCCCATGACCGTTTGCATTCCGATGATCAAATCAAGAGCCGACAAGAGATAAATGAGTATAAGAAAAAAGAGAGGGGTTTGGCTAGGGCTAAAATGACATACCTTGATTGTGAAATAGATCACATATATAGAGTGTAATGAAAATTGGTCAAATGGTGCTAATGGGTTGAGTTTCAAGCCCAAGCGATGTTTTTTATTAATTTACTAGACCCAATTCAGTTAAGCCCCTATTCGATATCCGTTAAATCAAATTTTTTTTTCAATATATTCATTTTCAATCACACATTTACACATTAAAATATTTTACATATAAATCCCAAAATTTTCTCTACTTTTAACTGCATATTTTTCAAAAATTCATCATTCAAAAATTTATTTTTTTGCCAAATAATGACCATCAAACAGGGGCTAAATAATCTATGACGAATCAGTATATGTGGTACTTTCTCAATTATGCATATGTCACGTTATCTATAGATGTAACAAAATGCATAGAAGAAATTTATTGAGCGTGCAATTATTTGAAAGTAAGAAGCCCACTTCAATATGTTTGATAACCAATCTTTCAAAACCTTTTTTTTTTTAATACTCATTTTCAAATACACTTTCTCTGAAACCGCTGTACATGAAACCAATAATGGCTTCTCTGAAATCTCCTTGGAGGGGCGGTGCAAGTCTCATTACTTCACATGCCACATTCCATGAATATTTCATTTCTTTATGTCTTCCCAGTTCTTTATGCCAAACAAATACATTTGACATATATGGTCCGTTTGATTGCAAAGATGAAATTTGGATGAAAATAAAATGAATTTCAGGGAATTGAATTGCCTAGAAATTGTTTTACTGAGAATTGTCAATTAATAGTATTTGATTGATATAATTTTTTACTTGAAAAATGTTGAAATAAAAGTGTCTTTTGATGTTCGTTTGGTTTTATTTTCATGAAAATTGTCAATTTAAGGGATATTCACTTCTACAATTGTTCCTAAATTTTGTTTCCAAAAGAAAAAAGGTTCAAAAAATCATCTATATTTTGGTGCTCGTTTGGTTTTGTTTTACATGAAAATTGTCAATTTAAGAGATATCATCTTTTTCAATTGTTCCTAGAATTTGTTTCCATTGTAATAAAAAAATTGTTGCATGGAAAATCAATTTCCACCAACCCCATGAGAAAGTGGATTCCTCAAAAACAAGGAAAAGCCGGTCAAGTGAGGAGAAAGCTAGAAAACCAATTACTTGGAAAATTTGGCAAATCAAACACTCAAAAACATGGAAAATGAAATTTCATTTCCAAGTTCCATGGAAAAAAGGGCCTATCAAACAGGCCCAAGGTGATTTGCAGAAAACAGTGCCATGTATCGAAACTTCTGATTCATTATTCAACAGAGTTGGAATGATTTTAATGCATTAGACAATGAATTAAGAGGTTGACAATCGTCTAGAACTTGTTTAAAACTACCTATAGGTGGTAGGGGCCGGGTTATTGATGTGAGGTGGATCCAGAAAAGGGGGGGTTCTAAAAAGCTAAGCAGTGGGAATTCTAAAGATTCCCCGGGGGAAAAATAGAGATGTCTCCTACGTTACCCATAATATGTGGAAGTATCGACGTAATTTCATAGAGTCATTCGGTCTGAATGCTACATGAAGAACATAAGCCAGATGACGGAACGGGAAGACCTAGGGTTAATCCATGAACAGGATCTATACATCTCGATCGGAAAAGAATCAAGAGAAAAAGAAAGAATCGGAATTGATCGATAGATTTCTCGAAACAAACGAAAAGGAACCTTTAGGAGTAATTCATCCAATTGGTTAGATCTAAAATAATAACATACCCTTCATATGAGCCATGGAAAAAAGGGCCTATCAAACAGGCCCAAGGTGATTTGCAGAAAACAGTGCCATGTATCGAAACTTCTGATTCATTATTCAACAGAGTTGGAATGATTTTAATGCATTAGACAATGAATTAAGAGGTTGACAATCGTCTAGACTAGTGATCGAAACTTCTGATTCATTATTCAACAGAGTTGGAATGATTTTAATGCATTAGACAATGAATTAAGAGGTTGACAATCGTCTAGAACTTGTTTAAAACTACCTATAGGTGGTAGGGGCCGGGTTATTGATGTGAGGTGGATCCAGAAAAGGGGGGGTTCTAAAAAGCTAAGCAGTGGGAATTCTAAAGATTCCCCGGGGGAAAAATAGAGATGTCTCCTACGTTACCCATAATATGTGGAAGTATCGACGTAATTTCATAGAGTCATTCGGTCTGAATGCTACATGAAGAACATAAGCCAGATGACGGAACGGGAAGACCTAGGATGTACAGGATCTATACATCTCGATCGGAAAAGAATCAAGAGAAAAAGAAAGAATCGGAATTGATCGATAGATTTCTCGAAACAAACGAAAAGGAACCTTTAGGAGTAATTCATCCAATTGGTTAGATCTAAAATAATAACATACCCTTCATATGAGCCCAGGGGCTGGGTCAACTATTCAATCAAATGATATTGAGCATGTTTCCCATCTCTTCTCGAGAAACAAGTGGGCTATTTCTTTGCAAAATTGTGCTCAATTTCATATGTGGCAATTCCGCCAAGATACTACTTATTATGAATATCATTATTCTATTGTTTAATCGTCGTTTATGTTGGCTCTAGTTGTGTTGCGAAATCGAACTAGACCGACAGGTTTAACTAGAAAAATCGAGCACGAAGGAAGATAGTGATAAATAGTAATGAGCAAATCTAGCTAGTGCGTGACTAGTAACAAATTGCACAAAGGTGCGACTCCAAGGACTGGGGCCCGTGAAAAATTTCCTTTTTTTAAGCGCTGAATTCACGCTTCACCTACCACTTTTTGTCCACAGTTTAGGTACAAGGCCAAGCAAGAAAGCTTTTACTCTGCACATGGGGGCATCTTGCCAATTTTCTTTAGGCGAATCTTTCGATGCAGCCCCGCTTTCATCGCTCAAGATGAATCACAACCCTGTTACATTTTTATTTTATTTTCGTTTAAAATACCCTTTTTTTACATATAAACGATCTGTTTTTAACTAAATTATTTTTATTTTCCATCCGACTAAGAAAAGCACGAGGGGAAATACAGATACTCTGAAAACAAAAATACAATTCGTAGAAGATTAAAAGTTGAAAGCATATTTGGCCGTGTTCAAAAGCACCTAAAAGGTGTTCTTTTCGAGCAATTCTAGGCACGATCAAACTTGAAATTGAATTTAATTAAGCTGTGTGAGGATAGAGGCGAACAGGAAGACCCTTGGCAGGAATTGGCATTGGATTAACAACAATCTTCTCATCTGGAATTATTTTCTCCCACTTGAACCTTTTCACAAGATGGTGCATAAAAACAAGAATTTCGAGACGGGCATACTCTTTTCCTGGGCACATTCTAGGTCCTCCACCAAATGGAACAAATGTGAAAGGAGCTGGTCCTGATCCATCAAATCTTGAAGGATCAAATTTCAGTGGCTCGGGGAAGAACTCGGGATTCCTGTGTGTCGAATTTGCACTCCAGTATAACTGCGAAAGGTAAGGAAACAACACGGGATTAATAGGTATATAATGGCTTGTATGAAACGAATATGAACATATTTGGTACATCGGATTAGACATATTTGTGTGCATTATTTACCTTCCATCCCTTTGGAATTTCAAAACCATTGTACATGAAATCAGTAATGGCTTCTCTAAAAGCTCCTTGGAGGGGTGGTGCTAGTCTCATCACTTCACATGCCACATTCCATGAATATTTCATTTTCTTTATGTCTTCCCAGTTCAGCAATTCACCTGGAGCTTTTGATTTGGCAATCTCTATTTGTTCTGATCATCGAAATAAAATAATTAATTATAAGAATGAAAATTGAAAAATGTTGGGATGGGAGAGGGGGGGTGGAGTTTGGATTATTTGAGACTTACCCCTGTAGACTCCGTCATATACCTCAGGCAACTCTGCAAGAAACTTGATAATGAAAGTGCATGCAGAACTAGCAGTATCATGGCCTCCAATAAGCAGGCCTAAAATCTTATCAGCAATATCCAATTCATGCATGAATTTTCCATTTTCATCACTAGTCAAGAGCATGTGAGACAATATATCTTGTGTTGGCGATGCTTTTCCTTCAGCTAAATCAAGTTTTCGCTGTTTGATTATGGCAACAAGCTCTTTACGGATGAAATTTGAGGCCTTGATGGCACGATTAAATGGCGTTCCGGGCAAGTCTATGGGAAGGGAAATAAGTCCAGATGCTAGAAGGTCGAAAGGATCAGCAAATCTAGCAACGTGGTTGGGATCTTCGACGCTTACAAACAAACGGCAGGCCAGCCAGAAAGTGAATTTCTTTGCAAGGGGGAAAGCAACAATTTCATTCTTGTTTTCCCAGTCATCAGTAAAGTGTCTTTGTGCAATATGATCCATTATACCGATGTATCGTTGTAAGGCTTCGGGTTTGAGGAAATTCGGAAGCATTTTTCGCATTTTTATGGCTTCTTCTTTTGATGAAGTTTGATTAGAAGATGGGAAAACTTTGTCAAAAGATGCAGGCCACCATGCTTGGACAAGTTTATTCTCATTTGAGAACAAAAACTTATTACCAGCAGCACCACAGAAAACGGCAGCCTTTTCTCCAAGTAGGTGAGTCCTGAAAACTTTGGATGAGTACTTAGCCATCCGATCGTAAATGAACTTTTCGGGGTAGCCCTTCCACCCAGTGGTGAGAAACTCTAGGGTTTCGCCAACCACTGGCAATCCAGTCTTGCCGGGAGGAAGCGTCCCAGATGAGCTCGATTTGTTCTTGTAGAAGATGTAGTTAAGAGAGAAGAATACAAAGGAAACAAAGAGGCCAAGGAGAGACACAAAGAAGAAGTCCATGTCTTATGTTTTGATTAGTATATTGATGATTTAGTTATTGAATTTAGACACATATATATAGAGGGAAAGAGAGTCAAAACTATGTAGTGATACTAGGAAAAGTTAATTTTGGGAATATCGAAGTCAAGTTAGGAAACCAAGGAATCAAGGTCCTATGGAGTGGCTTTACTTGGTTGAAATATATAATATATAATCGGCATCCAAAATGCCTGTTTTTATTTGCTTTTGCATGTCTAAACACAATCTTCTTTTAATATCTCCAAGTTGAAATTTTTGATTCCCAATAGCACTGTGCGAGACAATTTCCTACCTAAGGAGATAAGATGTAAGATTGGTGGTAAGTATTTGAATAAAGCATTCCACTATAATTTAGGTCGAGACATAAATTTTCTCATTTACAAGAAGAAATGATTGGTACTAAGTTTTTGAATAAAGGATTCAATCCACTGTAAAATGTAAGATTGGTAATAATTTTATACGAGAAGAAATGATTCATTGAGTCGAAACTATAAGTCGGGCAGAGCCCCATTTCTTCCATCTACAAAGAAAAGTTGCAGGATGCTATTAACGGTTGATCCTGTAGATGAAATGTTGGTTGATGCTAACTGTTCATTGAAAAAGAAATTTTTATTAAGCAGAGATTACTAACTAATAATATGACATTTTCTTTGCCGAAGTAGCTGGCTAGCGGCGACAGGACTTGTTCTTATTAGAAGGGTTTGTAGTTCATCTGAATGAGCTAAAAATATATGAATCCTTCGTTTTTAAAATTGATTCAATTTGACATAATTACAGGAAACTGCTGTTATAATATATTTCAAAACAGCCAGATGCCATTTTATTTGCCTGCATCAGAGGCAATTAAACTCACAATGCAATGGAATTTCTGTTATGTTATCATATACTTGTTGTATATGTTGAGAATTTACTTAAACATGCGCAGCGGAAATAAAAACAATTTTAATTTCAACTAGGATTTATCTTTGTATTTAGATAGGAACTGTAATAAAAGTTATACATTTTCTTGAATTTGCAAACTCCTTTGCGTTATCTTTGTTCCAACAACTTTGATCTGCCTCTCACAGCTATCCAATTGTCCAGTCTCCAATGAATTCCACACAGAGAACAGATTGCAGCCACCAGGATTTTCACGACTTGTGCTAGCAAGAATTATGAAAATTATATGGATCTAAAATCCTAACCATGTATTTATATAAACTCAAACGGGCTCGGTCTGGTCCGGTGCAATATATAATTAATCCATTTAATTAAATCTGGTCCGTGAATTAATTAATCCAATTAATTAATTCGGGGCTATAAATAACCAATCCAATTAGTTAATTTATCCAACGATTTTTAAATCAATTAATTGACAAATTGTAATCTTTCAATTCTCTTTTGTGTGCAACCCATCAAGTTCCCGATCACGATACCTAACAACGTGAAATATTATTTTGATCTAATAAAAAACTGATAAATTAAAACACCATTTTAATTTATCACTAATTCACACTCTCCGCCTCGAATTGACATCTAGCAATGTATCAGGGCAACACATGTGACGGAAAATGTCACGTGGTATGACAAAACCAAACCTGTTCGTTTACCGTGAAACTATAATCCCTTCGTCAATATGATCCGATCAATTTTGAGATATGGAAGTGTGTCAATTTCGATTGTCGATCATATCTTTCATTTTACTATTAAGTTAATATGAGTCGAAAACTCTTTTTCGACTTATGTGTATACCTTGGCCAAAAATTTCGTTATTGACTTAATTGAACGAAATGCAGATCACAATCTCTTACTATCTAAGAGTGACGAATCCTTTATTGATCATTCACAACCTTCATATGGTTCTTGACATAACCGAACGATGCCGTATTAGCGGCTCTTGGTAGAGCAACATCCAACACCGTTAAAGCATGTCTGTCCTCATACAAGGCACTATGATGACCTCAAGTCAAAGGACAAATTCTACTACCGAACGTTAGAGATTAACCACTGACACTCAGATAGTTATCCATGTGGAATCCCTTAGCGGGTCTCCAATATTTTGTTCAATAACAAAACATTCACGTGTTTATTTAAGTGTCATCACACTTTAACTTGTGAGATCATCTACTTACTTCACAAGTAGGAAATGCCACACGTGATGGTCTATCTGTAATAACTATATCCGTATTTCGTTATTACTTACGACCACGAATTATTCAAGATAAAATTATACGTAATTTGTATCTCACAATCACAACTCCTTGTGATTAACAAATCACTTAAACTTGAATTTTCGGACTCTATTATTTAATATTATTTATCAGAAAATTAATTTAAATAAATAATAGATCTTGCCAAAATTAAATACATTGAACATATTAAAAGTGTTTACAACCTAAATCGATTATATTTAGGGCATAACACTTACAAACTCCCACTTGCACTAGATCCAATCATTCATGTATCAATACCATAAGTGTCCACATGACGATCATGTTTCTGTTGTGACAACGGCTTTGTCATTGGATCTGCAATATTGTCATCTGTGGGAACTCGCTCTATCTTTACGTCATTTCTTTGTATAATCTCCCTGATGAGATGATATCATCATAGCACATATTTGGATCGTTGATAAGATCAACAATGCTAGGAACGACTCCCAGTTCATTAATGAACTTCTTGATCCAAACAGCTTCTTTTGCTGCTTTAGAAGCAGCAATGTACTCGGCTTCTGTTGTTGAATCAGCGGTTGTCTCCTGTTTGAAACTTTTCCAACTAACCGCTCCATTGTTGAGAGTAAACATATATCTTGATTGAGACTTGCTATCATCTTTGTCAGATTGAAAGCTGACATCAGTATACCTATAAATCTTTAGTTCATCTCCTCCATAGATCAAGAACATATCTTTAATCATTCTCAAGTTCTTAAGAATGTTTTTAACCGCTATCTAGTGTTTCTCACCAGGGTTTGCTTGAAACCTGCTCGTAACACTTAGAACATATGAAACATCTGGTCTCGTACATATCATCGCATACATGATAGATCCTATCGTCGAAGCATAAGGAATCTTATCCATGCGATTCCTTTCATCATGTGTTTTAGGACACATATCTTTTGAGAGGTAAATCCCATGTGACATAGGACACAAACCTCTCTTAGACTCTTCCATATTATATCTTCTCAAGATTTTATCTATGTATGAAGATTGAGATAAGCTTGCCATATTTCATAATCATGGTATGCAGCAATTGCAAGCAAAATTTGAATGGACTTTAGCATGGCTACAGGCGAAAAAGTTTCATTAAAGCAACGCCTTGTCTTTGTGTGTAACATTTCACTACTAGTTTTGTTTTGTATGTATCGATGTTTCCATTCACATCGACCTTTTTCTTGTAAACTCATTTACAACCTATCGATTTTATCCTACCTGGAAGGTCGACCAAGGTCCAAATTTTGTTCTCATACATTGAGTTCATTTCGGATTCCATGGCATTTTGATTGTTTCATCAAAACGAAGATTCCAGCTCCTAGAGACTTGCTTTAATCCATGAATGGATCGATTTAGCTTACAGACTTTGTTGGCTCCTTTGGATTCAAAACCTTCAGGTTGTGTCATGTATACCTCATCTTGTAAGTTTTCATTAAGGAAAGCAGTTTTAACATCCATTTGCCATATTTCATAATCATGGTATGCAGCAATTGCAAGCAAAATTTGAATGGACTTTAGCATGGCTACAGGCGAAAAAGTTTCATTAAAGCAACGTCTTGTCTTTGTGTGTAACATTTCACTACTAGTTTTGTTTTGTATGTATCGATGTTTCCATTCACATCGACCTTTTTCTTGTAAACTCATTTACAACCTATCGATTTTATCCCACCTGGAAGGTCGACCAAGGTCCAAATTTTGTTCTCATACATTGAGTTCATTTCGGATTCCATGACTTCTTACCATATCTTCGAGTCAACACTTGACTTCACTTCTGCGTAATTTGTAGGTTCATCATCCTCGACTAATAATACTTGATTAGTAATAGCTCGTATGGAGTTTTGTCGATCGATTTAGATGGGACACGATTAAGTGTGTAGCACGCAGCAATTAGTGCATGACCCCAAAATAATTTTGGGATGTTTGTATGGCTCATCATTGATTGCATCATGTCTAACAATGTGCGATTCCTCTATTCAGATACACCATTATGTTGCGGTGGATATGGCGGAGTCCACTGCGAGAGAATCTCATTCTCTTTTAGATAATCTAAAAATTCTCCCTTTAAATATTCTCCACCTCGATCTAATCTCAGCGTGAGAATATTTTTACCGGTCTGTTTCTCTACTTCAAGTTTTAATTTTTTGAACTTTTCAAGTGCTTCATGCTTGAATTTCATCAGATACACATAACCATATCTAGAATGATTATCAGTAAATGTGATGAAGTAAGAGAAACCACCTCTGGCAGTGATTGACATGGGTCCACATACATCAGTATATATTAGTCTCAGCAATTTTGTGGCTCTTTCTCCTTTTCCAGTAAAGGGGAACTTGGTCATTTTGCCTAACAGGCATGACTCGCATTTGTCAAATGATTCAAAATAAGTTGACCCCAAGTATCCATCTTTATGTAACTTGGAAATGCGTTTGTCGTTAATATGACCCATTCTGCAATGCCAGAGGTATATATTATTTAAATTATCACTTTTATGCCTTTTACTTTCTATTCTCATAATAGATGACTCAGTATCAAGAATATAAATTCCATTTTGCAACACACCACAACCATAAAAGATCTCATCTTTATAAAATGAACAACGATTATTCTTAACATTAATTGAAAAATCATTCATGTCCAAACACGAAATAGAAATAATGTTTTTAGTAATAACGGGAACAAAATAACAATTTTCTAATTCTAATACTAAGCCCGAAGGCAGTGGTAAAAAGTATGTCCCTACAGCTAATGCAGCAACTCTTGCTCCATTCCCCACGCGCAGGTCAACTTCTCTTTTCTGCAGTGGTCTACTTCTCTTTAGTCCCTGCATATTTATACAAATATGAGATCCACATTTGGTATCTAATACTCAAGAAACTAATGAAGTACACATATTAACCTCGATAACAAAAATACCTTAAGTAGAAGTTTC